CCCCCCACCCCCCCCACCCCCATGGTTTTCCATGCTACGTCTGGCAAGCAAGGGCACCGATCCCAGAACCAGACCGAAGTCCACATCGTAGACGAAGTGCAGTGGGTAAGGCGAACGGAAGGTTCGATGGCGCAATGCGGAAGAGAAATGCTCCCACTATATAGCGTTTTGGGCGCACTCCTGCGCAGTTCATCAACACATTTCTAATCAAGCAGCGGAAGCAGTGGAACAGCGGAACGTCCCTTGCATCATCAAGAGTGCAGGCAGCACATACTTTGATTGGCCTGGGGGAAGTGAACTGATTCTGTGCCAGGGGGAGCCCATCGAATCCTGAGCATGAAGCTTGCTAGACTATGCTAGACTGAGGCATGCATGCTTGTATGTATGCAGATACGTATGTATATCTATGGATGGACGGATGGATGAATGGATGGATGGCTAGATGTCTACACGGATAGATAGATAGATGGATAGATAGATAGATAGATAGTGATAGACACATACATGGACGGATGGATGCAGAGACAGAGCACCATCATGTCCGTACGTATACATACGCACGACTAAATTGCATACACGGCCATGCATTTTTACAAGTTATATACATATAAATACGGAAACACCCTACGCATATGTATATGATATGTACACACACTCAAATGCATGTGCCGTAGCTTGCACTGGCAAGCTTCCATCTCAGCAACTGAGATGTCTGCGTAGATCCAGAGGATGCACCAACCGCTGGTAGGGCTCGTAGCCTGGATACACCCCATCTCGGGGTTGCCCGAAAATAAGGACCCTAATTTAGTACCCTAAATAGTAGGTTCCTTATCATAAGGACCCCAACATAAGGTACCCCTTGTTTTCGAAAACTTCCATCTGAGGTGTAAGGTTTCAGAGGTTCCCGTGAGCATTGCAGCTGCCACGGCTGGCCAACCCAAACCCACGAGTCTGTCGGCACGGCGGAGACAGAAGGGGCAGTGCACAGCTTCGAAGGTACATCTCTCATCAAACCGGGCCTCTTCTGTTCGTACAATCGGTATCCACATCCTCCCCCCAATCTCTCAATCTCAAACAACACCGATATCGGACCATGAGGCAGAGGGCAGCCAGGCAACGGAACCAGCGCTGCGCGATCCATTTCTCACCTTCCGATCTGGGTTTGCTACCCATAGTCCCCATAGTAGTTCCTTTTGGGGATTACCTTATAGGATCTGAATACGAACCCCAAAAAGGAACTACAATGGGGCCTGTGGGTACTTGCACTTCAGTTCGACGGCCACTTTTGCCTCAAGCGGTCGAGTTTCGAAACTCGAAAAGTGCATGCAGCACTGTGGCTAAGAAGAGAAAGGGTTCAAAAGTGGCAAGCTCGGGCATCTATCCTAGGCCCTGGGTGCTAGGCGTCTCTCCCAATGACGTTGGTGATGTTGCTGGTCATCACCTTCGCCGTCTTGGCTTCATGGAAACACAATCCCATCTCGCCATCATCGTACCCCTCTGCTTCTCTGCCGCATCCAAGAGGCGCCCCCGAGCTCAAAAAGCTTGTCGCCTGTGTTGAGGACCGATGCGCGGATCGTCCCTGGCAACCTTTCCTGCTTGGTCCTTCACAAACTTCCCGGTGATGGCGCGCACCTCCATGTGCTCTGCCCAGACGCGGCGCTTGGGCATCACCGGCCTCAACAAGCCATTCTGCTCGCCACAGTCGAACTTTCTCCATGGAGGGCAATCATTCGAGACCACGCACTTCCGCTTCATTTCCCCACCTGTGTTTGCTGCTCTGTCAACCTCACTGCAGAAAGCACCATGGCTTCGAAACATGGAGTTCTTCAGCCGTCGCTGGCACATGCTCCCACCATGTGCTCGTGCGAGCTGGAAGGCCATGGGGGCCATTCCTCCTCAGGAGCCTCTGGGAGACGTGTGGGCGCAGTACGGTGGACCACATCATAGGGCCCACGATGTGGTTCACGCTCCTGCACCCAAACGTCTCCCAGAGGCTCGAGGAGGAATCGTGGGCCTCTCGTCCGCGCATTTCTTGTCAGTGATGCGCTTCCAAAAGTTACTGTTTAGCATGGTTTGCTTGCTGGCCACTGGCTTCGCATTCTTGAAGTCTTCCAAGATTGCTGCGTGCAAGCTTGCATCCAGGTCAGAATTCGCTCGGCCAGCCTGCAGCAGCACTGCATCCTCAGTCTGACATGCATCCGTGGAGTTGAAACCTCGGCAAACTAGGGGAGCTACAAAAAGGCAACGAGCACAGACCAGCGCTGCATGGCCTGCATCGCAGCTCCTTGGTCCTAGGCTCCTAGGACAGGCAAGCCAAATAGCTTTCACCGAGCCGTTTTGCCACTTTCGCATGTCTCAAAGAAGCTCCGAGATGCTTCATCACTAGGGAGACCCGTTTTTGCAACAGGCCTCGTTGTCAAGCAGCCCGGTCTAGCCAAGCACACACTCCCCTAACCTACAGGGAAACCCTAAACCCTTTTTTACACCTGGACTACACATATGCCAGGAACAACCCTAAACCCTAAACCCTAGGGTCCTTCGGACATCTTCAGCTCTTGTATACCGGACCCGGCCCTTGCTGCTGGATTCCCAAAGATCACAAGGAAGCCAGCCTTGTTTCACGGGACAGGCGGCGTGCTCGGCCATTCGATCCTTCCTCCCGGCCTCGAATTGCCACGCACGACACCGAATACTGCACGACCTCCGACACTCTCCCGAACAAGGCCATACTATAGGGGCTTCAATAAGCAGACTAGTCTTCTGGTGTACTTTATCCTATAGCCTATTACTATAAATTGCGAACCCCCCAAAATAGTATAGGTAATTATTTAGGCCCCTCACAGTGTAAGCCTCAGCCTTGGAGGATGTTGCAGGTGACCCCTAGGGGCAGAGGGGGTGGCACTACCATCGGGCAAGACTATCCTGAGAGTTGCGCTGCATCGTGGTTGAAGAACCTCAATGCCGACACGCACAGTGTAGCGTAGATGACTGGCGACTTATATGAGAGTGCCTAGGTAGGATTAGGAGTTGCATGTGGTGCAGGCCGACTCGGACTCTTGCCGCCGAGGCGGTACAACAGCAGGGGATGAATCTGTGTTGGCCAGCTCGACCATTCCACCAGCCAGAAAACGCAAAAATCGCAAGCCATGAATATCTGGGACGAAGACAGCACCGCGCGACCCTTCTTTGGGGAAACGCGCAAGAGGTCACTCCGGTCCTGCATCAGGCTTGCAGCGTTGCACGGAGCTTTGAAATGGGACTGGTAGAGCTACCCATAGGCCCCATTGTAGTTCCTTTTTGGGGTTCATATTTGGAATCCTATAAGGCAATCCCAAAAAGGAACTACTATGGGGCCTATGGGTACTGACTTTCTCTTGCTCAGTGTTCGCTCCCACCTGTGGAATCCACTGATGCGGGCACAGCCAAACAGCAACCCTAAACCCTAAACCCTAAACCCTAAACCCTAAACCCTAAACCCTAACTGCTGCAGTTGGGCTCCGGGCGCAGCAGGCTCTCGCACCAAACCTCATACCATGCCAAGGCAGGGGTTTAGGGTCTTTGCCTCCTACTTAGCAAGGACAAGCCCGCATTACAGGGTAGTATGACGTCTCAGAACATGCAAATTAGGGTTTAGGGTTTAGGGTTTAGGGTTTAGGGTTTCGGCGCTCACACTCGGTTTAGGGTTTAGGGTTTAGGGGAAGGCGCGGTATCTTCCAAGGCTAGTCTGCCGGGAAGCACCGAACTACCATCGGCTGCTGCTCTCCACTGCATGGTGCAGTCGTTTCGATTTCCTTGGTGCGGCATGAGTTGCCAGAATGCTAGCGTGCCGATTTCGGCATGATCCTAACACAGCTGACAACACACCCTTTTGCATCACAGCATCCAAGAGGAAACAGGGTCTCGCCCCCCTCCTCAACATCGTTGAGATACCTGACACCGAAGATTACGTTTCCGACATGAACAGCAGCTCCAAGCAAAACGGAGACAGCGATATAGCAGCCCCTGCTCCTCATGTATGAGTCAACTCTCTTTCCCGTCAAGACTAGCGGAGCCCACATGGAGGGCACACTATCAGTGTCGCCGGGCCTGACAATCGAGCATGTCTCTGCTGAGTAGGCAAAATAGTAGAGACTCTTGCGGAATGCCGAAGTAAAGACTCTGCATGACTGGCCGCAGCGAGTTCTCAGTCTGTCACGTGCCACGTCGTTCCTGAGCTGGACGTCGCAGTCGCAAACGCTCGCACTCTGCGTCTCCAGTGTTTGCCTTCCTCCTGCCGTCCAAGCCTCCGAGGATCAGAATCCTGATGTGTTTCGTACTTCTCGCCGACACCTCGGGAGAAGGTCTTTCTGCAGAAGATGGGCCGATTTCCGCAAGCCCTTCCCCCTGCTGCCCCTGTCGCGTACATCTTTCGATGCCGCAGCAGAGGGCAAAAGGCCCCAGCCGTAGTGACCTGCAAAGCCAAGCTCCCAATCTACTGCGAGTGCTTTGTAACGGTTTTGCTGCTTAAGGCTCCCTAGCTGAAGATGGATCTTGCAAGCAGCCGACGGCGGCGACTTGTTTGCGCAAAGCTTCTGCACCGCTCATGCATGGAGGCCTATTTGAAGAGCTTCAGCATCATCGTCGGGAATGCGAGAGGCACGATGCATTCGCTTGAGCAGATGGAAGACGTCCTCACTCAGAAACTGCCATCTGGCACACGGTTACGGTGATGCTGCCTTTCGGTGGGAAACGGTCACGAGGCCCTGGCCGGGTCGTCCCTTTCCTGGGTGTAGTTCAACCAAATCTGCCGGTTATTCCTCACGCTGACCTTGCACGCACGTGTGCAGAAGCCCACCTCCGCACTGTATTCTGGACTCCCCACCTGCCCAAACACCGAAACACCAAAAAGGCATGTGCCATTCCGACATCTTCTTCTCTGATCGAAAGCCCTCCTGACCTCCTGACATCCTTTGTCCCCGACGTTGTCGGAACCCTAAAATCTAAACTGTCCTAAACCCATAAGTGCCTGCTCAAAACCCCAAAACCCTAAACCCCTTTTTTGAACCCAGGCTCTCCCTAAATCCTAAACCCATAAGTGCCTGCTCATCGAACTTGTTGTCTGCCTTTTCAACCACCTTGGCAGGCTCCAGGCGGCCGGCGACCTGACGTTTGCTCCAGCAGAGTGATATAGGCTCATCACAATGAGAAGAAGAAGGCTACTAATTACTAATAATAATAAGATTAAGAGGAATAACAACACTAAGAATAATCATAACAGTGATATATATATATATATAGAGATCGAGAAATAATATTAGTCAAAACAGGAAGCCCGTGGAACCGAAC